ACAGCCCTTCAAAGGACCTTCTCCTTGCGGGCCGGTTTATCCAAGCACATACACCTACACATACAGCCTACGCACGCGTCTCAAATGTACTCAACAACCCATCCGATCAGTCGAACCCGTTCACGCACCCACCTTCCCTGCATCCCACATCGCCCCCCGCACCCACCTTTCCTCCATCCTGCGGAGAGTCAACGGCCTTCAAGGCCCAATCCACGGCCCCCTTCAGGCTGCTCCTGACGACAACCTTACGATCCTGCGGCATCACCGGCGGCGCCGCTGCAGCCGCTGCCGCTGCAGGCGATTCCGTCCCCGTCACCAACGGTACGACAGCTCCACCGCCGCCGCCGCCAAACAGCACCATGCCCGACGTCCCACGCCCTGACGGCACCAAGCCCCAGCCAGAGGACAGCGACACGGAGCCGCTGGGTGTCAGCGACAACGGCGATGCTGCCGCCGCGGCAGCGGCGGCGGCCGCTGCCGTTGCCGGCGACATGAAAACGTAGCTGCTGTTAACGGCTGGTGTGGCACCGCCGCTGCCGCTGTTGACGGCGGCCGCCGCTGCGAGGTCGCCAAGCTGTAGCTGCAGTAGCCCTACCATCTGTTCCTTGATGGACAGCTCCGAAGCCAGCTTGGCGCAGCGGTGTTGTGCGGCAGACAGCTCGGTGAGGATCTTGGTGGTTTCATTGGCGGTCTCGTCGTTGATGGTGCGCTGGGACAACACCTCGGACCGCAGCTGCAGCAACACAGCAAAAAGATGTAAGGCAACGCTCCTCCTATGCTTAGCCTTGTAATAGCTGTCCGATTCAATTGTAAATGTGCTGACCGTGTGCCAATTTGAGAAGCAAAATTGCTGTCGAAATGGCGCGCTGCAGGCAGGCCAATTTGCATGGCAGAGAATTCAAGATTGAGGATTCCTGGTTGTTGGAGTTTTGTCTGTGGGTAGTCCCTTCAAAGGCACCCAAATCCCCCACCCTCCAACCCCCCCAACCCATATACATACATACATACATACACACACAAGGACCCACCGCATCCGCCTCCCGCTGGTGGGCCTCGGCAGTGGCCCTCATGAACTCTGTCTGCCTCCTGGCCGCCTCGACATCCCGACCCGACTCCGTGAGACGCTCCTCCAGCAGCGCCACACGCAGGTCGGCGGCGTGGGAAGCCGCCTCCGCCGCAGCCAACTGCCGCTGGGCGCGAGCCAGCTCAGCCTGTCGTACGTACGTATGGATGGACATACATATGTTTGTAAAGTTACTCGTGAGCCATGTTCGTCCATTCCTGGTTGCCCCGGCTGCTGAGATCAGTGAATCAGGTACATACAGACGCACATGCATGCGAGTGATTGTCAAAGAGGGTAATTAAGATGCCGGTCTTATCGGTGGTAATAAACTTTAGTGCTGTGCTGTACAGAATTAGAAGGTGCATCTACACCGCACGCACACCTCGCGTCTACCCTTCCGAACACCCCCACTCTCTCTCCTCTCATTTCCCCCTCTTTCCTCTCTCCTCTCCCCTTGCAGCAGGTACCTTGAGACTCGCAACCTGCTCCTCTAGCTGTGCCGTACTCCGCAAGGGCGTCTGCGCCTTGGTGGGAGTGGTGTTTGCGGAGGAGCCCGCAGCAGGTGCACCGGACTGGGGTGTGCCTGTGGAGGAGCCCACTCCGGCGGCGGGGGAGGAGGAGGGCTGTGCCGCGCGGCACTCCTCACGCTTGCGCAGAACCTCCAGCTGCGCGTAGGTGGCTTGAGCGTCGCGCTGTATCAGAAAAAGTTCGGCGCGCAGCATTTCATTGTCCTCAGAGGCCTGCAGATCAGAGGCAGGGGCGGGGGGAAAGTCAGTGCAGGGCAAAATAAAGCGGAACAGAATGGGGCACAATGGAGCAGAAGCGGAGCGGATTATATTTTGAGTGGGATTAAGTGATCGTGGTCGCGTCCACGGCGACGGGGGGGAAGGAGAGGGCCGCGTGTGGCGAAAAAAGGGAAAAAGCCGCCTCAAGAGCTTACAAAAGAGAGGCGAACGTGGATTGTGATGCTGGACGGGTTTCGCGGCAAGGTAGGGCAGGGTAAGACGATGACAGGAGGGTTGAGTGCGTTGTGCTTTATGTGGATTTGGGTTCTTCTAAGGGATACGGGGAAGTGCGTGGCGCACATGAGGCGCTTAATGGCCCTCTCCGGGAAGACGTTCCGGTTTATGTACGTGTGTACTAGACTGATAGGTAGGTTACCTGCGACGTACGGAATCATTTATGATGACATAAAATATTTTGTTGGTGGGTCAATTGTGCTGCATTGTGCGAAGTGCGCTTGGCTCTGTGAAATCCCGGTTTCCTGAAGCCATTTCCCCCTGAAGCCCCTCGCACAGGCCTTTCCCCCAACTGCATTTGCCGAGATACTCGAGAGTGCGTAACAAGTAACTCACCTTCATGTACCTCTCAATCCATAGGTTCTTCTCGTTGACCACCTTCTCCATCTCCCTCTTCCAGAAGGCGACTTCCTTGTCAAGCACCTCCTTCTGTGGGAAATTCCAACAATTCAAAATAAGTTATTTGCAATTACGCACAGGATAGGAACCATGAGTGCAGGCATCATAAAATCGATCAACTTCCCCCAAAGGGGTGGGTATGCCAGGAAAGTCCTAGAGCATTGCACGCATGGACAGTATTTTCATTTTCCCGAAATGGTCTTCAGCTTCTATAGTTGTAATTATCCAGATTAAATCCACGGTTTCAGGTTCTGAAGGATGGCCGATTGTCCCGGTTGAACTGAGTCGCACCTCAGCATCTTTAGTATTTCGTCTCCGAAACATCGTTGTCGACTTGGGCGTCCTATCACCAGCTTATTAAATGCGTTGCCTGGTCGTGAGCAATGGAAAAGCGCTTTTCTTCCTTCTATGATAATGGCGCCAATCGACGCAGCTTCAGCATAAGTATTGTAACTTTAATGTCATGCTTCTTCTAGAGATTTCACAGGACTGCATGCAAAAATAAAAGCAGGCACCGCAGCAAGACAGCATCATCACTGTCACGGCATTGCCGTGTACTTTGAGCGCAGTGTCTGATATTCACCTACAGCTGTGTGTCATAAAATATTTATTAAATCCTTATTTAATTTTACCTCTTGAAATCTTTTGCACGCCGAGCTGTCGCAGACCCGCCGACCCACAGCTGTTGATGAAGGCATCTTCTTAAAGAACCTTAGGCTCAAAACGTGACCATGGATGAAGAAGCGTTTTAAATCTCTATAGGTTCATGCATTTGAGACATCTAAAACATCATCAAGCTGCATCATGCCCTAGAGGGAAGCCTTCTTGGCCTTGGAGGCCAAAATGTGGAACCCATATTCCGAAACCTCCAACCCAACATCATGTAGGACATATTTCGAAGGACAGGTACGGTGAAGCAAGGTTGGGGCCGGCATTGTATAGGTCGCGGCTCCCACTTCTCCTGAAGGACCTTCGACAGCTAGACCAACCTGGACCCAGCTGGTGACAGATACATTGCTCTATAGACTTTACATAAAATCCCAGTGGATGGAAAGGAGGAGCCTCAGAGGACTCCAACCAAATTCCGGGACATACGTTTATGTCGCGCAAGGTAAGACTGGGACGAAAACGGAGAGAATTGCTCGTACCGCTGTCCTGCCGATGACGCCATAGCCAGCGTATGTCAGTGCTTCTTCAAGGTTTTGCATTGCTGTGCAACTGCTTTACTCTGTTGGGCCTTGCTGGGCACGCCCAGACAGCAGGACAGCAACGCACACGACATTTCCTTTGAACATCAGAAGGGAACATCGCATAAAGTAGGTCAACACGTCTCGCACAAAGCGTGCTGCTGTTCAGCAACCGTTCCCCGACAAAACACCAAAGCACGAGTAGTACCAGTACGGCATTTAGATCGTCGATGCCCCAGCCTCGGTGACAACAGGTGACAGCGCTGTGATGGTTAATTAGGGGCATAGTCATGAAGGCCATGAGGCAATCCCTTCAATGTTTGATGTATCCTAAGCAAAGACGCGCACATTATCGGCAGGGCGCCATCGGCTGACTGTTTCATGCCGTTCCGTGCCATGCCATTCCTGATGCTGCTTCTGATAGCTACGGCTGCTGCTGCCGAGGAAGACTTGCCCTCTCGCCGCACCGTCTGCCTTTCTTTAACATCCACGGGTGTAGCAGAGCAGGGTCCTGTGGGAACCGATTACAGAACAGATATAGAACGACCGCGTCTTTGCATCCATCCCCACCCTCTTGCACCCTCCCGCTGAAAGGCCCCTCAGCAGAAGGGGCCGTGCACGTTCGCGACGTATGTTCTGGGTTTGAGGTCATTCCATGCACCTTTTGCGTGCATGTTGACTTTATTGTAGATGTTGGTGAAGGCAGTGCTCACTTCATCTGCTTCCGTCTGCGTGACTCCACCTGGGGCAGCTCTCCTATATATTTTATTACGTCCTATTACCATATAATAAGGGATAATCCTAAAGCATAATGTAGTTCGCAGCCAAATGACCATGACGCAGATGCAGGAAACGGGATAATGAAGGCGATTGCATGAACAACCACCTTAATCCTGCTGTATTGCGTCAACACGTAATTCCTAGTCAATAAAAGCAGCATGCTGAAATGAATCATGATCTCATCACTGCGATGAATGCGGCATTGTAAATTTGACATTGTTCTTAAATCCAAAGCTGTAGGTATGGATACAGTAATTGTCACAAAATCAGCTGATCTGCAATCTGGTATCTTTATGAGTTAAGGAAGTGCGACAGAAAATCGATCGTAATTGTACGGCAGAAAGTGCGCCAGACCAATTGGACTCCTGAAGCATTACAGATTTGTGCAGGACACTGCATCGGCTCTAGAGCACAGACGCTGGGCGTTACCCCTTAGAAATTTTCTTTGCAGCCTGAGCGTATCGGAAGGGTTCGAGCTCCATCCAGCGCGTGGCCCTGCTTAAAACTGTAAAGGCTTGAGCAGATTAAACCTTGGTGTTAATTCAGCTCAAAATGACGAACACTATGGGTTTGTTTGTCAAGGATAAAACTGCGGCCCTCACCTACGAAGAGGAACGGCTGAAAGCCATGGGCTATGCGCAGGTAAATTTAGTCACTTGCTTCGTAAGGAAATGTTTCTTCACGACGGCTCCTTGGCGTGCATGTGCGCAAGCCTTTGCTTTGCCTCGACCAACTTCGAAAACCCGTTGCATAGGTTCTACATCGAGGATGGCGTTGGTTTACAAATGTAAGACATATTTCGCTGTGCTTATAGCTGACCGGGTAACGGATTACCAAGGCGTCAACTTAACATTGACGCGACAGGTTGCGGTGACCGTTTCCTCGATGAGCGTCCTCCTGTCCATCACAGGTGCGACGTAGTCTTAGCGATTCAGCCATCTATTTTTTACTTCTTCCGGCACTTGATGACGGACTTCGACTGGAATGCTGTTGCATGAAACAAACGAATTTATTATGCGACGATGTTGCGTAAATGCATAATTACACCTAACGTTGCATGTGCTAATATACGCATAGCTTCAAATGGGAGACCGTGACGTCCGCAGCTGCCTTGTCGGCGCCATTCGCTCGCCGTCTGCTGCCAGCCATCCCAACCGCACCTATCATTTTACACTCGGCCCCTAATGCTGTACCTTCTCGCGACCCAAAACTCTTCCTCCATTTTCCTCCACCCTTCTTCCTTCACCCGCCATCACCCTCCTCATTTTCCTCCTTACCTCCCCTGCTTTACCCCTGTGCTCGCCAGGCAGTTTCGCCACCGGACTCACTTACGGCGGCCCCGTCGTGTGCCTGTGGGGCTGGTGGCTGGTGTCGCTGTTCAGCCTCTGTGTCGCGCTGGGCATGGCGGGTACGTCCTGCTAGCTCTAACATTCTTGATTTATTAAAGATGTAAGGAGATATATAGCTATGAATGCAGATGTAGATATAGATAAAGAGATATCTAAATATCTAAAGAGATAGATAAAGAGATGGATAAAGAGATAGGTAAAGAGATAGGTACAGAGTTCACGATTTCATAGATTCGATATTTAAAGATTTCGTTGCCGCACAGACTCTACGGAAGGGGAAATGGTCTTCCTTCATTTGGTTAATGTCCCGACCTTTGTCCCCATTTTTTGTGCAGAACTGGCCTCAGCCTACCCCACCAGCGGAGGTGAGTGAGTCAGTGAGCGCGTGAGTGAGCGCGTGAGTGAGGGAGTGACGGTTAGAGCTCCAGCTCGGGGACGCGGGCAAATGTGCCAAGGAGCCGTACCTCCCCGCCTGACCAGCTTGGGACCAGCTCGCTGTCCATATCCGATTCTGTGCACACACATACACACACATACACACACATGTGCACATTTCCCCCCCACAACCCCCAGGCATGTACTACTGGATCTATCAGCTCGTAGGGCCCTCATACGGACCCCTAATCTGCTGGTGGGTATGTATGTATGTATGTGTGAATGTATGCATGCCGGACTGGGGGGGGAAATGCGGCAATGGGGGCATGGGGCCATGGGTGTGCAGGCGGGATTGGGCGGAGTCTGTCTCCGGGGCAGGTTGGGGGCCGCACGCGGGGGAAAGTGAATTGTGGTGTATCGTCATATACACCGTTATGACATTTACGGCATTATGAACGTTTCATGCTTTGCCGATCTGATCGCTTTTTTGCGCCGCTTCCTGCTCCGCTGTTGCGTTAATTGCAGGGTGACGGGTGAGTGTCGCGAGGAAAACACACATGCACAAACAGACAGACAAACAAACAGACAGACGCACGGGAGGGCGGTAATGGTGGGAGGCCCGCAGAGGGATGGCGCTGGAGAAGGACAAGACGGGGGTAGCGAGGCGGCGTGTCGGGACGGTGTGTGTGCCGGGAAGTAAACTTGAAAGGGCAAGGGGAAGGAGAATTTCGGGCGGCGTCCTTACCAGCTTTGGTATAGCGGTTGGCTGGATATCTCGCCACAAACATCCTACCTTACTAACAGATATTACTATCCGCAGGATGGCTGAATCTTCTAGGTCAGATCGCCTCCCTGGCCTCCACGCATTACTTCATGGCTTATATCATTTCAATGATCATCTTATTATCTACGGGGACCGCAGCTCCGACGCTCCCGAAAGGAATCGAACAGGGGACTGATTATGATGTCCCTGAAGGATCTGGTTGGTTTCCGGATAACAAGCAGTTCATGGGCATTTACACGGCCTGCCTAGTCTTTACGGTGAGTGGGTGGGTACTGAGGAAAAACGAAAAGGCAAAAGGACAGGAAAAAACTGGCAAAGCATGACGGGATTCGGTGGCGGTGTAGTTTGCCCGGGCGGCGGGAGGAGACTGCAGGGGAGTTGGGACACCGCTGAAGTCCCCAAGACGACGAAGAGGAGCAGATTCCACTGTGTTTTTCGCATCGTGTTGCTGCGTGTTGCTGTGGTTCCTGCCGTCTCTTTCCCCTCTTTCCCTCCCTCCGGCCGCCATGTCGGCCTGTTTTCCTCCTCCCTCCACTCCTCCTGCTCCCTCCACCCCCCCTCCTCCTCTCCCCCC